AGGTGGATTATTTTCTAAAATTGTCCTACTAAGCTAACCAATATCCTATCTGTAAGTAGCTTTCATAATGGATATGTGCAGTGGATATCCCCAGAATTCACCGCCTGCTGGCTTCAGCTGAATCAGCGTAATACCAGGAGCTGTTGCTACACAGATTGTATAGCAGCAGTTATAATATACCCTAGGCACAATTTGTGTTCATTGATAACAAATATATATATAGCAAATTATTTACTTATAACTGTCGGGAGCATTAAGTGCTATAGCTGCCTAGCAAGACCATCATGAATGCAACAGAAATGTTATAATATCAGTTCTGATCTTATCAATAGGAAAGTTTCCTTTAAGTGATTGCTGGCCCATCTGTGAGGAAATGCAGGGTGTTATATGATCATGAAAACTTGAACTTGAGGGATTTCATTTAGGTTTTCCAGCTGGGAAGGTTTCCTTGATACATATGTATCAACAGATCTGTTATGTCCATTACATTTTTCGGAACAATCCAGTGATTTAAAATTCAATGCTTTTCATAAGTTTAAATTTCCTTTTTATACATGTGTTGTCAGACATTGTGAACCATGAGGGTACATCATATACATTTTCATAATGTGACTCTGTCCCGGAGTGCTCAAAATGTGTTTTGCAGTTCTATTTTATTTGAATGTCCTACATTATCTCAGAACACCTGGTGTTAACTTCATCTTTACAAGCTAGCATGTAAACTTTTCTGTAAAACTTCATTTCCTGTTGCATGCTCCTGAATGGTATTGTATCCTATAGCACAAAATAGAAAACTAAACAGACTAGACCAGGGTTTGAAATCTTGACCATACTGAAATTTAGATGAATGATTTACATTTAATTATAGCAACTGGGAGTGTACTGTTATAAATTAAGGTAGAGATCCACCATTTTTCGACTGTATAAAGTCCTTGAAAAGTTAGAAATCACTCATGTTGAGCATTCCCTGGGACCACTATTTTCTCATCCCCATATCCCACAAAACAGTAACGTTAAGTCCTTGAAAATTTTATTTTTATGTTTTTCCTCTATATATTCATACAAAGACAATTTTAGGTTGTGGGCAATTTATACGAATAGGACCATTTCAACTGAAATGTGGGAGAAAAGAATGAAGAGAATGAAAAAATGAGTGGTAGTGCAGTGGATAAGCTCTTTGCTTTATTATCTCAAGATTCGAGGATCAAATGGGCTGAATTGTTTTTGTGAAAACGTCTACCATAATAAATGGACAAACATCTTCAAGCCAGAAAAATGCTGAACAAATTGACACTCTTCTTCATTGGAGATATATACTGCACAGAGCATTGGGACTCCCAACCTTAATGTAACTGTTGATTAAAATTGCAGTAAAAACAGTCAATGTTACTGGTGATTGATCATGATTGATCTAGTACTGTCTTCCTTCATTATAAATGCATAATGGTTAATGTTGGAGTAGGAGGTGTGCATGGATTTGAATGACCTGTGTACATGTAGGTGCAAAAGCCCGACACCAACAAGAGGCCATTCAAATCCACACATGACAATGATCTACAAGTTAAGCTGGTGACCTACTTGCATTTCAACACCCCAATATTTCAAAATCTGACATAAACAAAGTTTTCTCTCAAACTGACTACTCCTACACAAGCATATTTCCAACATGTACCTTATTTATAAGCTTCCACACTAATATCTCCTATATAACCAATGACTCTTCTATATAATATAACAATAACTCAACACCAGTATCATCAATAGTTCTCATACCAATATATATATCTTCCATGCCAGTTGATTTCCCACCCCAGTTGATCTCTGACACCAGTGTCCTGAATAACTATTTCCAGTATATATTACCCACCACAATATTTCCCATACCAGTAAATCTCCCACAACAGCGTATCCAATCCTAACTTAAATGACCACTAAACAGCATGTTACTATATACCTCCCCCGAGATGACAAGCCTCTGTTAACTAGGTCAGTAGTACAACAATTGATGAAAAGGAAGGGCACAATTGATTAATCATCCTGCACACATCACCCTAAACACCTCAGTAACATCCTAACCAGTGAGTGCCGGTCCACTCCATTATTTATATACATTCGCTACACATTGTTCTTTACAATGATTCACTAATTGTTTTTGATGGATGTCAGTTACAGCAACGACTACCAACAATTGCTATACTGCTGTTCTTTTCAGTTAGTGCGTTTTGATGAATGTAAGTCATATTGACATTTATTAGTAAGGATATTTTACTGCCTGTACTACATGTACATAGAAGTGTATGCACCAGACGATGAATACAAGTTATATTTGTATGATGATGTTTCCTACTGTCTATACAGTATGCTCTTGGCGACAGCGACAAAGTTATATCATAGGAAGACAGGGTATAGGTTTTTACGTCTAACGTGTCGTCTTTGCCTATTGATTTTCCATAAAAGACGCCCACTCACTTTTAGTTACACAATACAAAACATGTATTGTGAAGGTCCACAAATCTCCTATTGCACACATAAGCATTCGATATAACACGATATTAATATTTTGCAAAACTTTTTTGTTTTCAGAATTCTATACCAATTTATATAATTAAAAAGAAATGAACCACCAATTTCTCTCCCAGAAAATAAATGGCATACATACAACATAATATATAGCTAAATGTATTGTTTTTATAAATTGCTTTGTATGTTTTTTCCTTTTAATCATACCTTACCTGACAAGTAATCGAAATTACATCTTTTTCTGATAATCATTATTGTATGCATTTTTTTTCGATGTGGAATACATCATTATAGCATTATAGAAAATGTGATCATTATGATTGGTGAAAAAATGCTAACAAAAAACTTGTTGCGATATATGCTACATCTGTTGAAATGCAAAATAATTTTGTTGATAAAAATTTGATAAATTTTTACAGTATGAATGAACAAAATAATAAAAAAAAATTGTGAACTTGAACAATTCTGCGTACAATATTAAATCCTACTAACGGAGAAGAGTGTCTAGCTAGTATGTTTGATCATGATCAACTACAATAGGATACCAAACCCATTACCTGCTCTTCAGCCTTTGTGAAAACATCACCTATTCATTTCCCAGAGAAAAAAAAACTAAATGTCTTTTAAATGTGAGGAAAGCAGATGTTCTCCAGGTGCTGCGTCATGGAGACAATGCTATTTATCTGGTCTAAAACATGCAGAGGAACAAAAGTAATGATGGAAATAAATGTTATACAAAATACAATTTGACAGAAAATTTTTACAATATCCATGATATATTGTTGTATTTTGCAATAAATATCCTTAGCTTGCATACATGTAAATTAAACAAAAAAACAGTTATCTGTTCCATATAAACACATTTATGGTTTTGTACTCCATTAATTCAGCTGTCTTTTCATATGTGCAGTGGATTTTTTATCAAGATTCATTAAATAGGTTGATAAATCTATTTTACGAAAGTATCTCTATTTCATTACATATATATGTAATGAGAAAATTCCAACTCCTTGTAAATGTGCACATGCATATGTCCCTAAATCAAAATAAGGTATCAACCTGTGTTCAGGGCTGTTCTGATTTATTCTTTCTCTTCTAATCTGTGAACACATCTGGTTTATATTTCAATAACATGATTTAAGGTTTTTGTTAGCAAATTTATTTTCTAATCTTTGACCAGTCTTGCTGTGGTTTGAGTCTCCTTGGCTTTACTACATCATACAAAGTTCACTATTTATCTATAGCTAGTATTTATTATATTTACTCCACAGAGACCAAAATGGCTTTAATGCAGAGGGTTATGCATCAGTTCTGATAGCCTGACTGTGACATGATTTGTTTATGATCATAAATATAGACTGGTCTATATGCACATAATTGCCAGGTGAAGATGATTTTTTTTTAAAGCATCCTGTAAAAAAAACCCACTGACCATGAGAACTTTGAGTCAGATGTACTGTATTTAGATTATCATATTTAATTGGAGCAGGAAGTCATTATTGAAGATAAATCCATTTACCCAAATTATTATATATCTTAAAGATACAGAAATTGAAAAAAATAATGATAAAAGCATCAAACAAACAAAATGTTTTTATCTAGATCTGTACAGTACACAGAAACGTAAATCTGTTGGATTTGACAGATGATAGAAACATTTAAGAAGACCCACCATGTACCAGGTACATACGGTATGATGTATTAATCATATTTAAATTCATAATCAATAACCAAAACACATCAAAGGATGAAGCATCCATTCAGCTCCAGTGAAAAATATCTGATTTTTTTTATCTTCAAAAGATAGCCAAAATCATCCTACAACATACTACAGCAAGAAACAGGCATTTTGCTTTCATGTTAAAAGTTTTACTTAACTTATAAGATGTAAATTTAATCACAAAATCAGTGTTGAGCACCCATCTTTTACTTCATTAGAGACACAAAGGTGGACAGATCTTTCCAGTTATCTACTTGAGGGGTACATATATAAGATGTAACTTTTATCTCCGCGATCTGTTTCAGAAGCTGTCAAACTACAGTACCCTGCTACTGATGCAGGGTCTTGACCTCGTCTGCAGAAGTGCTCCCATCAGCTCTTATTATGGTGTTTAAGAGGAAAAAGCTTACCTGGACTACCAGTTTTAGACGACGAACTCATGACAACAGTTTCTCCTGTTGCCTTGCACAATAAAGTGTATTTTCATGTCTATATTTCCAACAGGAGCAGTAAAACTACATCTAGAACTTGGTGGTACATCCTCGCCAAACACTTCCTATAAAGTGTGTGTAGTAGACGTTCACCAAAACGAGGCTTGTAAATTAGGATGGATTGGCCGGCTGAAATAATGCGAATATAAATATAACGACTTAAAATTATTACTTTTTATTATCCAAAAAAATGTTTACAGAAAATTAAATTCAGGATATATATTTATATATGTTTTATGTTAATTTTCTGCGCATCGTCGCTGCGGAATTATAAATTCAAGATGGCGTTGAAGGAGGCAGTTCACAATCGTACGATTTGTTTATTTACATATTTATTCGTGAATAACACAATAATGATGTTATTATTTCAGCTTTCACTACAGGAACAACGTTTTTCAGAGTTCTACAATTGTAAATTGTTTCTTTACCTGTGCAACTCGGGTTTGTAGCCGGTATATTTTTGTTGTCAGCAGACTTGAATATTGATTTTTTGGTCGACATACATCAGGTAGGCGAAAACCACTAACTTGCGTAAAATAATACGCAAACTCACCTATTATACGCCAATTGGGGTAAGAAACTGTAACTAAAAATAGCCAAAATCACTTTAATCGTAATTTTTTCAAATTGTTTGTCCAAGTAGCATATATTTAGCCATGAAACATCATACAAATACAAACCATGTAGGAAAGTACCAAAAATAGATGCAATACTTCCGGTAAAGTTACTTTTAGTAAACATCTTTTAGCAAAATATTGTTTACCTTGTCGTAAATAAATGCGATTTTTAATAATATATTGCAAAAGTTACTGTTAAAGTGATTTTGGTTATTTTTAGTAACAAATCCATACTCCAACTGGCATATAATAGGCGAGTTTGCATATTATGCAAACAATTGGTGGTTTTCCCCAACCTGTTCATGTAGCCCAAGGCTACAATCGCGTATCCCGGTTGAAACGGTACATGTGGCGCAGAAATTTTCCACGATAAACGAACACACTTGGACCGTTCTATAAGCAGAGCTAAAAATCCACAGTTTCGGAGAATAAAAAACAATGTATCAAGAATATCATGCCCTTCTCTCACGCGTCCACTAAATTACATAACGGATCTTAAAAATTACATGTGACTTGACATTGTTTAAGAAAGAAATAACGCAAATTGGCAATAGTCAGCATTTTAGTTTCGGTCAGGTACGTCTGGACCCCTCAATCTACACGTACCAAATTTTCCTGAGGTCAGCCTCGGTCCAAATCTGTACCTGTCGTTTTCTTTACAGGTTCAACCGTTTCAACTGGATATGCAAATGTAGCCTAAGTGTAGGCCTGTCCTATGAAGAATGAAAACAATCTGATCACACAGCATTTAAACAAACTATTATATATAATTAATAGTCAGCTGACAGGCTTGGACATTTTTTTTCTTGAGATTTCTCCCACATTGTGTTACAACATTTAAAATGGTATACGCTTGTATATTGACTATCCATTGCAAGTCAATTGATTGAATTCCTATTTGAAATCGGGAAATAACTTGTGGGTAGCATAAGTGTACATGACTGTTGTTATTTGTTGTGAGAGCCAACTAATAACAACAGTCCATGACCTTGCGAAGGGCCTCAACAACCGAAATCAGATTGACACCGTTCTGCTCGACTTCAGTAAGGCATTTGACAAGGTCTCACGGCGCGTCTATCAGCTAAACTGCATCACTATGGTGTGAGAGGAACTACATTGTCATGGATTGAGGACTTCCTTTCAGACCTATCACAACAGATAGTGGTGGATGGTGAGAAATCCTCCAGCTCCAGTGTCATCTGGAGTTCCTCAAGGCATGGTCATGGGACCTCTCTTGTTTTTAGTTTATTTCAACAATTTACCAAGCAGAGTGAGTTTGACAACTAGACTGTTTGCAGATGACTGCCTGATGTATCGGACTATTAAGGAAAGAGGGATGTAAAACACCTACAAGAAAACTTTGACTCGTTACAGCAGTGGGAAAATGACTGGGGAATGAGTTTCAATCCTGATAAGTGTGAGTTGATACGAATCACTAACAAACGCAATGTTATTGCTGGTAAGTATACCATTCACAGACAACATGACAGACAAGGCAGAGTACCTTGGAGTCACCATCGATCAGAAACTGTCGTGGAACAGTCACGTCACCAGTGTTACAAGGAAGGCGAACAACACCACCGCTTTTCCTGAGGCATAACATATCTTCATGCCCAAGGAACATCACGGCTACTTGCTACTAGACATTGGTTCGCCTACAATTGGAGTATATATGCTGCCACTGTGTGGGACAATTCCACCAAGTCCCAAATCAACTCCCTGGAGGCAGTGCAGCGTAGAGCAGCACAGTTCATTATGGACGACTACAGCCATACCAGTACCGTGACACCCATGCTAAAGGAGCTCCAACTTGAAAGCCTTTAAATGAAAAAAGCCCAGGCTAGAGCTACCATGATTTACCGGGTAATCAACGACCTGATCGCAATACCAACAACCCCACTTCAGTCAAATGGTACAAGGACTAGAGGGCACACCACCTGATACCTCCAGTCCTACTGTAGCTTGGGATCATACCAGGATTCTTTCTTCCCAGCTGGTATTCGAATATGGAACAAACTGCCAGCAAGTATCTTGGACGCCGACACCCTGGAAACCTTCAAGTCCAGGATCGGAAAGTTCCAACCATAGGTAGCCAAGACTAATTTTAACTGAGCCTCGACACAACATGATTCTAATCTTTTAACCATGTGCGAATATGCTCCGCATGGAGCCCGGCACATAACTGGAAGAAGAAGACTAATTCATGTAAAAAAAATGCTGCTCCGGCAATGTATTTTGATCTACAAATGTAGTCCGTAGTTATCCTGAACAGGTTGGGCGCATATGGGTAATAATCCTGCCTTTTGGTAACAGTTACCCATTTAACAATTGTATTACTGAAATGGGGAATAAAGTGAAATAAAACACACAGAGTTCTTTTACACATTATAAACAAAACAGGAGTCATTCTTTCAAAATAATCAAATAAAAAATACGAGGTACAACTGTGCACAAACATGTGTCTATTCAGTTGTCTAAATTTTTGTGAAAATGACAAAATGTATCGCTTCCATTGCTTACAGTGTGTTGTAGAGTAGCTACAATGTATAAATAGCACACAGAAAAAATCATGCTCACCTGTCAGATTTGCATTGGATGATCCCAGTGACTACACACTGGAAGTCAATGGAGAGCAAAGTCAGTGATATAGTTTGTCATTTTCACAAAAAGATAGACATCAGAACTGATATTTGTTTGTGTACAATTGTACTTTATTGTGTTGTTTATTGGAATGAGCTGAAAAAATAACGCCCTTTTTTGCTGAAAGAATTTAAAAGAACTTTGTGTGATTATATTTCACTTTATTCCCCATTTCAGTAATAAAATGGTTTCTCAAATGGGTAACTGTTTTTACCAAATGCAGGATTATTACTCATATGCACTGTTGTGCCAAACCTGTTAACCCTTTCATCCCAAGGTAACATTAGTAGACTCTACCATACATCTATCTGGATAAATCCATTGTGGTGAAGGGGTTAAAGATAGACAAACAAAATGTCAAAGTAACTTTGCCAAAAGTCAATGGCAGTATTTTTGATGGGATGACAATGTGCAGAAGAGAAACTCTTCAACATTCCCATTGCTATCCTTTTACCATATTGAATTGATGAGTTTAGATGAATAAACTCTGTGATGAAATCAATGTTTAAATATCAGATTATATATTACGTATATCTAGTTATGTAGTAATATACTCAAGCATCATAATCTTGTATTGTAAATGGCGGATCAAAGGATGCACAATAAATTGGAGAATTTTTCATCAATGTTTGTTGGTGTCTTACATTTCTTTATATTAACAGAATATTCCACTGTTTTCCTAATTTCACCTTTTCCTGAAATTGGTTCCAACAACTTCAAATGACCTATATCATCCTTATTTTTCCAGAATTGATGAATGAAGTCATCAGGACTGTGAAGAAAGACGGAGAATGGAAAGTCCTGGTTCTTGACTTTCTCAGCACACGCATGGTGTCATCATGTTGCAAGATGACAGAGATTATGTCAGAGGGAATCACATGTAAGATATTTTAAACCATGGTGAAGCTGTATATAAACATGATTCCAAAGGACTCTCTAGTTAGTTTTGGTTTTGGGGGATGCATAGTTACAACACAATGCAAAATAATGATAGAGATGAGAAAACAGACAATTTGTGTTGTAACAGGGATAAAAGTTCTTTTTGTTTCTTCATTTCCCCCTGATATAAGCTGAGTGCACAGGGGTCCCAAATTAGTTGGTGTCGGATGCCATGTTATATCGGAAGTCAATCTCATATTGTTGTTAACTTGACACAATGCCATCTAGCGGGTAAGAATAATAACCCATGTCGGAGAAACAAAAGATTGACTGCGAAACACAAGTAGTTGCTCACGGTTGACAGCACACCAGGTTAATTTGGGCATTAGTCGGGGTTTGGTCGCAATGGCAGGGTAATTACCATTAATTAACGGTCATTCAGACTGAAAGTGGTCGAAATACGGAATAGCACAGTAGTCATATTGCTGAAGCTATGAAATGCAATATAAAGATATAGAGGGGGAAAATGGGACTGAAAACAAGTACCTGCAATAGCAGGGCGGTCATAATTTCGAGGTTGTCGTTAGTCGAGTTTTTACTGTAATGAAGTACTCGCTACTAAATGTGTGTTATTTATATAGTGATGTTAAGAGTTATTACAATTTTCTTTGACATATATATATATTCAGATCTTAAGTGTATGTTTTTCAGTGGTGGAGGATCTGCACAAGAGGCGGGAACCGCTCCCTTTAGAAGCTGTGTACCTCATCACACCCACTGATAAGGTACACTTATTGACACTCCTCTCAAATTCAAGACCTCGTCATTTGTGGAAGCAAGCTGATTTTAACATCTTTAAAGAAATTTTTAGTTTGTTGCAGTTAATTTGTATTGCTGTTCACAAGTTTTGGCATTAACTGACATACTGTTTCTTTATTTGCATACCTTTGAAATAGTTGCAAGAACTAGAATTTGAAACAAATATGGTTTAGTAAAATTCAATATTGACACACACAAACATGAGTTTGTCAATCATTTATCTGCTCTGATTATGTTCAAAATTCCTTCAAAAACGTTTTTTCTTACAGTCCGTACGAGCTTTAATGAATGAGTTTCCAGGAACTAAGAACCAGTACAAATGTGCTCATGTATTTTTTACTGAAGGTATGTATAATTTACTTTTAACAAGCACAATCTGTATTAAATCTCCTATTCATGAACTAGGGCACAGTTGCTGGACACAATAATATGATGTGTACATACAATTGTACTATATACTTTTATATAATATAACACATCATGATTAGTGTGTCCAGCACCTGTGAATTAGGGTGTTGTATATCACAGTTGGTAGTACATGTTAAATTGATAAATTCAGACTACTGCAGGCCAATTCTTGCAGTAAACAATGCAGCATAGTATATTTCAAATGCGTAAGTAAATACCTTCTTTTATTTAGCTAGGTCAATAACAAGGGACTAGATAGTTTACCACTGTGGCATACTTTCCCTACCTTGAAAGACCTAATCCTTTTGTTAAGGAAGTTATCGCATCCATTACCCAGATCTCTACTGGAGCGTCAACATCACTGTAACAGAGATCATATTTTCCCAGTGTCTTCCCTCAGGATTGAACCCACGACTACATATTACCAGTTTAGGCTCTATCAATTGAGCCAAAGGGACATTTTCTTTAGCCTTGTCCGTAACACAGGACTAGACATATTTAACTCATTCACCCCTGAAGACACATTTTAACCCTTCCAATTCAAAGGTTGGAATAGTTCATTATGAAATTTCAGGGGTGAATGAGTTAATATGGTAATCATTTGAGCTGCAGTATTTGACTTTATCACATACATTTTTCCCTTGATTTATTCCAAAATTATATATGTTTTACAGCTTGTCCAGATGAGATTTTTAATGAGCTGAGTAAATCACCTTCTGCCAAGTTCATCAAATCTCTGAGGGAGATTAACATTGCATTTCTACCATATGAGTCTCAGGTATGTATTCCTTGGATCTTTTTTTGAACTTGTAATCAATTTTCATGTATGATGTTAATATCTTTTTCAAAGCAAATGTGACATTTCATAATTTGAATATGTGTTATTTCTTTTGGGTGATTATATTGTTTTTACTGGAAACACACAAAAATATATAAAAATAACGAACAAAAAACTATTAGGCTCTATGAAGTATTGTTGACATTTGAGTGCAAACATAACATATGACTTGACACAGAAAATACTTTAATGTTATTCCAATCTTTTTGGTGCTGTTGCCTGCAAAGCGATCTTTTGTTAAGTGTGCTGTGTCTTTGTGCATTTCAGGTGTTCTCACTTGACTCTGCGGAGAGTTTCCCGTTTTTCTACAACCCAATCTTAAAACAAGCGGGTCGTACTTTAAACTTGGAGAGATGTGCAGAACAAATTGCCACTCTGTGTGCCACGCTGGGCGAGTACCCATCTGTTAGATATAGGAGGTAGGCAGGCTTTATTGTATATACAATCACAGGAGTCCCAGGCTTGTGTGAAGTTTTCATTCACTGTCTCTTTATTAACTTCCGTGTTGTTCTGCCCGAAATGCTCAAGTACCACCAAGTTACAACTGATTTTTACACAATCCAAGGTCCAGAACCACATCCTCTATCAGGGAGATTTATTGTATCCATTATTTCCCACTGGTAGTATGTAACAGAAGGGTCTATAAGTTAATACGAAGTCCATCAGTCAGTCAGTCCGTCAGTTTTTCACTCTGAGAAGATTATCTTTCTTCTTATTTCACCAATAATTGCCAAAAACTTGAGGGAGGGGGTATACCTTGAGGGAGGGAGTATACCCTGAGGGAGGGAGTATACCTTGAGGGAGGGAGTATACCCTGAGGGAGGGAGTATGACTTGAGGAAGGGAGTATACCCTGAGGGAGGGAGTATAACTTGAGGTAGGGTGTATACCTTGAGGGAGGGAGTATAACTTGAGGGAGGGGGGAGGGAGTATACCCTGAGGGAGGGAGTATGACTTGAGGGAGGGAGTATACCCTGAGGGAGGGGGTATACCTTGAGTAAGGGAATATAACTTGAGGGAGAGAGTATACCTTGAGGGAGGGAGTATACCTTGAGGGAGGGAGTATGACTTGAGGGAGGGAGTATACCTTGAGGGAGGGAGTATACCCTGAGGGAGGGAGTATGACTTGAGGGAGGGAGTATACCCTGAGGGAGGGAGTATAACTTGAGGGAGGGAGTATACCTTGAGGGAGGGAGTATACCCTGAGGGAGGGAGTATGACTTGAGGGAGGGAGTATACCCTGAGGGAGGGAGTATGACTTGAAGGAGGGAGTATACCTTGAGGGAGGGAGTATATCTTGAGGGAGGGAGTATGACTTGAGGGAGGGAGTATACCTTTAGGGAGGGCATATACCTTGAGGGAGGGAGTATACCTTGAGGGAGGGAGTATACCCTGAGGGAGGGAGTATGACTTGAGGAAGGGAGTATACCCTGAGGGAGGGAGTATAACTTGAGGTAGGGTGTATACCTTGAGGGAGGGAGTATAACTTGAGGGAGGGGGGAGGGAGTATACCCTGAGGGAGGGAGTATGACTTGAGGGAGGGAGTATACCTTGAGGGAGGGAGTATAACTTGAGGGAGGGAGTATACCTTGAGGGAGGGAGTATAACTTGAGGTAGGGAATATAACTTGAGGTAGGGAGTATACCTTGAGAGAGGGAGTATACCTATGCTAGCCCTGCTTACTTTGTTTTCATTCCAGCAATATTCATTTCTTTTTTGAAACTTAATTTTAAGTGGAGCTACAACCAGAATGCATTATCCAAGATTTATTTAAACATAAACATATATTCACTCTATACCTTTATTCACCATATAGGTGAAATATGCGTATTTGTATCCCTGAGAGTGAGATTAATCGTGTGTCCCAAGGAACATTAAATCATGTGAAGGAGACTCAATGTTTTGTCTCCCAGCCGTGTAATGTGTTTTAACCAAATCGAGACAGTCACACACTTTACTATAGCTGAGGTAAATGAGGTATTATAATAAGGGAACTGACATTCTCCCATTAAGGTCATAGGAGTGTATTGCTAAACGGAAATAGGAAGTACATGCCTAGTTGAAAACCCAATATAGGGAGACGGTATCACAATTTCCGCATATTCTAGTGTTAAATATTAAACTGATGAATATTGTATGTTTATTATTGACAGAACAGTATGTTCTTTCAATATAAAGTATTTCAAAGCAATCAAGGCATTAATTCAGTGGGTTTTTTTATCAATGAATCACATGTGTCCATTGTTCTGTACTTCAGGAACCCGGCTACCTATTTCACTACTGTGAAGTTTTTCAAGAAAGATAACTCTTTACATGCATTTACTATATGTACATGGTTTTATTATAAACTGTCAATTTTAAACATTTATAGATAATTAATTTTACACAATTTCAGCATTTATTAAATTGATATACATTAATGCAATACTAATCTATGTCGGTATCATTTTTATTGACATTATTTTGCCTAAAATTGTGTCTTTCATTTTTTTTCAAAACTCACTCCTTTTTACATAAATTTTCATTTAAAATCCTTTAAATTCTGACAACCTATAATTTTTGTGGCAGAAATTTTTCTTTACTTCAACGCAATATAACTACAAATTTGGAAAAAATTCTACTGAGAAATGGTGACACAATCCTATTACCTTAAGTAACCAAGGTGTTGAGATGGGTACCTCACTCTGTTGTATTCTTGCTGTATCTCTTCTGCAGTGAGTTTGACAAGAACGCTGAGTTTGCCCAGATGGTTCAACAGAAGCTAGATGCATACAGAGCAGATGACCACACAATGGGAGAAGTAGGTGGTTATTAATGCAACATTGCCTTCCAATACCTTTTACTGTTGTTAAGGAACTAAACTTCATTAAAACCCCTACAACCTCAGGTTTCTTAACAATCTGTTTAATTTGGATACTTCAGATACAAATAATGTTGTGTGAGACACAGGAGATCTAACACTGGACTTACATTGTTTCTGCCTATGTAGGACTTAGATTATTTCAGCCTATGTAGGACGTAGATTGTTTCAGCCTGCTGTATGTAGGTTATGAACCTGTTCTTGTTGTTTTCAGGGACCACAGAAAGACCGCTCACAGCTGCTGATCCTGGACCGAGGGTTTGACCCAGTCACTCCACTCCTCCATGCCCTCACTTTTCAGGCCATGGTATATGATCTCCTGCCCATCGCCAATGATGTTTACAAGTAAGTGTTACACATGAACATCACAGTTACTGTGTATGCCTCTTACAGTGATGGAGGTTGCAATAAACTTAAGTCTAAGATGAGGCTCCAGTTAGAGGAAGGTTAAGTTGTGCAGCTAAACCTTTTTTATGATAAAAAATTGAAAGGCACTCTATCTCATAAGTTTTTTAATACAATTTTCATTTCCATTTTTACAAGAGTTTGCCTTTTCTTTCAGTCGGTCATTCCAAATGAGATCTTGGTTATATGTTGCATTCAGCTTTATTACTCAAACTGTCATTAAACTTATATCTGAATACATCACAAGAAGTACTACACTAGTACATCAAATGTAGGTTACTGTGACCTCTGTTTTATGTCTCAATGATATTGCTCAGACTTTGCATTTTGGCTTTTCTTTGGTTCCATAGTCTTTATGTTTGCCTCCATTTTCATAGAGGCGAAGTCAGGTACCTATGTACCAGTATGTTTTAAATATTTTCTAGTGAATGATTCTTTCTTTTACTTGAAGTTATAAATTGGCTGAAAGGGGATCCCACCCCTTCTATTGCAATGAAGAGAGAAAGATAAGAGATGAGGAAATATTTTGATTTGTGTAATTTTCTGTTTAGATATGTGAGTACAAGTGGCAATGACATGAGTGACAAGGAATACCTTTTACACGAGAATGACGAGTTGTGGGTAGAGCTCCGCCACCAACACATTGCTGTTGTATCACAGTAAGTAACCCAGCACTGTTTTATCTCTGTAAGTATTCATTTTATGTAACTCTTGTTAGTTAACTTTCAAATTGTATCGAGACCCAAGAATTACAGAGAGTCTTACAATTTGAAAATTTACTAATGAAAGTTGAATAAACTTGCTTACAAACCATCACAAGTTTGGGGACTTTTTTCTCCCACACCATTTAGAAATTATGTATACAGAAAACTATTTGTTTCTCTTGGGAATCAAGGACATTGACATCGCAATTACAAGTTTGAACAATCAAATAACGTCCAGGATGCATGTTACCCACTCGTGGGTGACCATAAATGTTCACTAACTCCTAGCAGGTTTATCCAATGAGTCACCTAGAGTGTTTGTGGGAGAAATTACAATCATCACTGTTAGAAAGACATCACAGCTGTTAACTCATCTGTGTTGTATAATCTAGTTGGGTCTTGTGCCCCACTATTTACAAGTATTTGTTTAATTATTTTTAGATTTTGATAAAATATAATTAAAAAAAAATGTTTAAAAAAAAATTAAATAAAGGAAATTAAAAACTTTTTAGGTCACCTGAGCTTTAGCTCAAGTGACCTATTGCTATCCGTTTTCGTCCGTCGTCGTCCGTCGTCCGTCGTCCGTCGTCCGTCGTC